GTTTATAAAAACCATTTGTTTTTCATTTTTTATGTTATCTGTTATTTTGTTGTAGACTGTTATCTCATCTTTAAATTTTAGCTCAGTAAACTTTTAATTTACTGCTTATTAATAGCTATTATGGTAGTAGTTGTGCTTAGGTATTGGCTAGAGATGTAGAATAAGCTCAGAAATATTTACTTTATAAGTACTAATAAACAGTCAATATCATAGTAATAGGCAGGAAATATGCCACTAGTAAATAGAGAGAATTGGTATTTAAACTGATGTGGTACCAGGATTGCTTTGAATGTACAGCATATAATAAAGAGTGCTGTAAACCTGTAACTATTCACATCCACAGTATTTGCTTTTCTAGCTGGAATTCAATGGTTATGGGATTTCAGCATTCTTCAAAATATTTTCATTTGGGTTAAACACAAGAAAGAACCTCAAGGGACAGTCGATAGTAATTACATTTTCATTTTTGGGTGAACTACACCTTTAAGGTCAGTTCATTTGTCATTTGAGCTTGTGTGTTATCCGCATCATGAAATTTAATCAGTGTTCATTTGTGAAATTAGTCATAATTATATTTAGTCTGGCGCAGGAGGACTCAGTTTAACTCAGTAGGAGATTATTTTACATGTGTGATTCTACATCAGCCGCAGTGATGACTTAATGAGGCCTATTCGACATATAAATCAACTTATTTAATTAGAACAACAGTCAACACAGTCAACACCATCGTCTAACATCAGCCACATACACACATAACTCATAGGTTTGTTGTGGGGACATTTCATTTTCCATCGCCCTACCCCAAATCTTTTCCCTAAACTTAACCCTCAAACTGTGGCATTTCAACAATAAAAAACACATTTTGTATGATTTATAAGCCCTTTGATAATGACACATGTACAATGTCCTCATGAATCCCCTTCTCCTTGTCATACCTACAGGTATGTCATATCTATGTTAATTGTTATACAAATTGGTCACAAAAACTTGCACACACCTACAGTAAGCAAAATGATGATGCATTCTTAATAAAGCTCAACAAATGCACAAAATATTATTTCTGTAACTTGTAACAAATTACAAATACTCAAATTACTGTAACTAATTTGTAATTATTTAATTTTCTTGAGTACATTTTTAGTGCTGTCTCTGTACTTTTACTCCACTGCTTTCCTTTAACCTGCAGTCACTATTTTTTGTTATCTGTGGTGATTGGCTAAATTAGAATAATCAGTTCTGCGATTCCTGCCCAATCAAATCGCACATAGAAAGAAAACCGCATCATACTGATCTACCTCAAGACATGGACACTTCATATGCAGCAAACCATTTGGAAGCATTAAAACTGTCCGAGAAGATGTCCAAGATCACACGCAATGACCTAGAGACTGTTTAGACTGCATGTCACTGATGTGAAGATGATGGATGTCTACTGTATTATGACTAAAATGGCCCTAAATATAATTAAATGCACTACAGAATGTTACGTTTTCACACACACTGCAGACTTTGGCAGTGTAATACTCACTTCTCAATACTCTGAGTACTTTTAGAAGGGCTACTTCTTACTATATATTTCTACTTTGAGTAATATTCACAACAGCGTTTACTCTACTTGCACTATATTTTGGGGCAAGTAATGGTACTTTTACTTGAGAAAGACTTTTCAGCACTCTTTCCCCCACTGTAAATTTGTAAAGTCATTGTTTATGTAAATATCATGTGTTTGTTAGGTATATGAAACATCTAATACAGGGGTCACCAACCTTTTGGAAACTGAGAGCTACTTCTTGGGTATCGTTTATTGTGAAGGGCTACCAGTTTGACACACACTTCTCAACAACAAATTTGCTCAATTATTATTAATAATTAATGATATTCATCTATGTGAAGACACTGATCATGTTAATGATTTCTCACAGTAGTTGTCAACATTGATTGGAAACAGATAAATATCAATATGCAACACTTCATTTGTCTAAAATAGTTTTTAAAGATTTTTTTTTAATATATAACTTAATGTCAGTTTAAATATTTCACCAATGCAAGTGTGATTTAAAAAGAATAGCTACAAAAAATATTAGATGCAGCTTACTGGTATATGTGGTGCTACGGTAAGTTAATTTTACAACAGGCCCACAGGCAACTTGTGATCCTCGCGGGCTGTGTTGGTGACCCCTTATCTAAAACATGGACGGTGACTCGGTGGCGCTGTGGGTAGCGATGTCACTTCACAGCAAGAAGATCGCTGGTTTGAGCCTCGGCTGAGGTCAGTTGGCGTTTCTGTGTGGAGTTTGCATGTTCTCCCTGTGCTTGCATGGGTTTCCTCCATGTGCTCAGGTTTCCCCCACAAGTCCAAAGACATGCAGTACAGGTGAATAAACTAAATTTCCATAGTGTATTTGTATGGATGAGTTAGTATGGATGTTTCCCAGTACTGGGTTGCAGCTGGAAGAGCATCCGCTGTATAAAACATATGCTGAATAAGTTGGCGGTTCATTCTGCTATGTCGCCCTCTGATAAATAAAGGGACTAAGCCGAAAAGAAAATGAATGAATGAATAAAACATGGACAAAACAGGTGTGGCAAAATCCATCGAAAATCTCCCACAAAACTTGAGATGAATAAGAACAGAAGAAAATAATCAATAGTATTTTTAAAATAGGTATTAAAAGTAATTTTGTTTTTCCAAAGTATCATATTTATCTTTAAATTCTGAGCTGCATTCCAGGTCAAAATGATGCTCCCGTGGCGGCCATTTTGTATCATAAAATGCGACATTTTATGATCGCCTTGGTGTCTGCTTACAAAATATGGTACACGCCATATCAAGAAATCCCTCAAAGATGTATCTTCATAGATATTCCAAAATGTGCATAAAATAGGTGGATGGAAATTGTATGACCATCTATCTGGTTTTCAGCTATATGAGAAAGGCTACGTGTTATTATAAGTGGTGTAATGCAGGGGAAAAGATTTGTATAATTACTATAATTTATATACTATATAGTATATTCATTCATTTTCTTGTCAGTTTAGTCCCTTTATTAATCCGGGGTCAACACAGTGGAATAAAACCACCAACTTATCCAGCACGTATTTACGCAGCGGATGCCCTTCCAGCCACAACCCATCATTGGGAAACATCCACACACACATTCATACACTACGGACAATTTAGCCTACCCAATTTAACTGTACCACGTGTCTTTGGACTGTGGGGGAAACCGGAGCACCCGAAGGAAACCCACGCGAATGCAGGGAGAACATGCAAACTCCACACAGAAACGTCAACTGAGCCGAGGCTCGAACCAGTGACCCAGCGATCTTCTTGCTGTGAGGCGACAGCACTACCTACTGCGCCACTGCTTTGCCCCTATAAAGTGTTGCATGCAGAACTGTTGAAAAGAATTTATTTGCATTGAATTTAAACAAACAAATTAGGTTTAATAATGTTTAACTTAATTTGTTTGTTTAAATTCAGCCCAAATAAATTGTTTACAACCACTTAACGTAAAAAAAAATTGACTAAATCCATGGAATCATCTTTGAATAATTTTTTCAGTGTACTATATTTAAAAATGTATATTAACTATAATAGAAATTTATAACTATAATATATACAGTATACTATAATTACCAATATACAATTTTATTAATTAAAATAGCATCTCTTAATGTGCATTTTATCAAAAAAAAAAATTCTCCAACCACTTGGGAAGCATCATTAGAAGTTTGACCTAATGTGGCTTTATTCTGTTTATTTTCATCTTTTTCCCGTTTCTTGGATGCTCTGGATCCACAGCTCTGACTTTTTCACATCTTGCGTCCACGTTCATTCACTTCAGTGCCTCTTTTGTTCATTAGTGCAGAGCTCGCAGGTGTTTTTTTAAGCCTCTTGTGCTCAGGTGTGTTTCAACTCAGAGTTTAATTGAATTGAAATGTGTGTTTTTGTCAAGACAGAAGACTCATGTTTTTTTGATAGTTTCTAAAATTAGTTTGTAAACAATTAATTTTTTTACAAAAATACAATAAAATTCATAAATTGGGTCACATGTAAATGCTTTAGATGGAAGAAAATAAATAAAGGTTTTATTTAAACGGTGGGATTCATCCCGGCTGCTTTTAAATCTGAAATATGTTCCAGATTTATTAACTGTGAAATGAAAACGGATAATTGTTTGGTGTAATCCTCTCTCGCCGTTTCAATCCTTTCTCTATAATCTGTGACCTCACCATCACGGAAACCAAAATAACCAAATCCACAAGATATTAACTTTCTACGCTCCTCTAAGCCATCTATAAATCCTATAACTGAGGGTGAAACTATACAGAGAGCTTCTTCCACAATTCATGAATACAGATGAAAAAAAAAGGATTTTCTCAAATGATACGTTCCAGAAAAATAAAGCTGATGAACTCATCGTTTACGGCAGAGAAATCCTGACAGATAACTCGATCATTCTGCCACATTTACGGTCTTATTGCTTTTTCAGTAGGACTGTTTTACAGTCTGATGAGACACATTTTTCTTAAATGAGTGTCAAAAAGTGAGCAGCCTGTTTCTCTTCGTTTAAAAGTAGCTGTCGTGCAGAATTAAACAAAGTCTAAATCTTTAGGGCAGCACTGGAGAGTCTCTCTAAAGGGAGTTAAATGTGTTAGAGTTATACTTAATACTGCTTAGAGAAGCAAAACAGTGATTACTCTGCATCTGTAGCATTAGTCACTGTTGATTCTCTCCTCAAGTCAGTCGCCAAACAAAGTGTGTGCCAGGGAAACTGCTGTTTAGGGTAAAGTAAACTAATCTGGGAGGAGCAGAATTCAGATTATCCTCAGCTTTCACAGCAATTTCACTCGTCGGATGACATTTATTAAAATAAATGTGCCGTAAAATCACATCATCTGCATACTGTTACGAGGTGCGTGTTGACTTGAATGCCTGGCTGTTTTAGATTCAGCTGCGTGTTCTAATGGAGAAGTCGCTGAGGATTATACAGTACCTCTGGAGTGCTCCAGGTGTCCCAGTGTCTCGATCTGCTCCACCAGGTCATTTGAGTTCCACTGGCTCATTTCCAGGAGTAAAGCCGTCTTCCCCTCCATGACATCTGCAGATCAGCAGGAAATCAGAAGTCATCAACACATTCAAGGGTCTATGATAATGAAAGCAAACAGTTTTTTTTCACTAAGAACACATTTACATGAGGTTTTTAGGTAAAACTGAATACTTTTTAAGCATTTTTCATGTTTGTTTACGTGACAACAGAGTTTTAGTGACTAAAAATGCATACATATGAAAAAGGTTTGGAAAGGGAAAGTTTTTAAAAATGTCATCATTGTCATGTTCATTTAAGAACCCAAAAACAAGAGTCAATAACCCCTTTCACACATTGATTCAGGTAAATATCAATTCAATTATCTGAACGACTACCGGTAAATTAAAATGTGATGTTCAAACAAACAAGGATTCCAGAATTTTTATGTAAAAGACGGTTCAGACACCCATTCCAAAATACTAGTAAATTCTGACATCATTAACCCTCTGGGGTCGAAGACCGAGTATACGCGTTTTGACCTGTGGTGTTGTGGCTCATTATGCAGCTCATTATGCAGGTCTTTGTCTTCTCTGGTGTGACTCACTGCATAGTAATGATAGTTCACGCCTTCTCGCATAAACCATTTTCACTCAAAAAGTGTCTTAGAAATTTTAATTTTAGTTTTCTGTGAGCAAGTGAACAAGATGATTCTCACATCATTTTGAAGCAAAAACATTAAGCTACAAGATCCAGTTCTCAAAAGTCTTGTGCACAAATGTTCTCTGTGTGTTTCACGGCCTTGTTTAAATGACTTAAAATTTTTAGTTTTTCACTTACCACGCATAAACGTTTCTTTCTCAAAAACACAAACACATACAAACATTCTGCTTAGGTATTATTGTAGCCCAACTTGTGCTGTTTACAGTGTTATCATACTAGCCATTTATATGCATTTAAGATACTGTCAATACTGACATTAAAGAGCCCATATTATGGGTTTTTGAAAATTCCCCTCCATGTAGTGTGTAACACAGCTCTAAGTGAAGTGAAGTATCCAGCTAAGGCTTAAATCTGTAAGAATACAGTGTTTAAAACGGTTGATTCATCTATAAAAGAGTCGACTCATAGTGCTTCAAACGAGTCGCCTTGATACCGACTCATTAGGTGTTTCGCCATGACGTATGAACGAAACCAAGTTATTCACGTGCACGCGCAAACCCGGGAGATTTCAAACCTGAGGCCCCGCCCTCTGACGCAGAAACCCAGACACACACACACACCCACAAACACACGCACACCCACAAACACACGCACACAAACATGCCGGTCGATTGAAGTAACACTGCAGATGGACATTATATTGAGTCTCTACCCAAAGATGAAACATCAGCATTATAACCAAGCAGTTGGAAACTTCTGGAAGCTACATGCTACAAAGAATACTTCATCTGAGTTTGTTAAAGGAAGGATCAGTAAAGAGTAACTGATGGACGTCAGGATGGGTTTCTTCCATTTCTCAAGTGTAAGTACGTGCGGTTAAAGTTGTTGCCTCGTTTACTCTAGCTTGCAAATGTATTTAGTTGTGATTTGTTACTTGTAACCGCGTGTACTGTATCAGGTTAACTGGATATATTATCTTATCGCGTGCAAAGTCACGTTAAAAACGCGACGCGTGCTGTTTGTTTATGGAGCTCCGTGCTAGAGTTCTGCTCCCGCGATTTATTCTGAAATTTATTAAATAAATAAATAAATAAATAAATAAATATAAATTTCCGAATAAATCGCGGGAGCGGTCGGTAACGGGTTTAATTTGGGACGGGAGCGGGCTGTCTAGCAATATCACGGATATTGCTATGCGAATTAGAAAGAGAGAGTCTGCGTGGTGCTTGTGTGTGTGTTAGTGCGCACGCGCGCGTATGAGAGAGAGAGAGAGAGAGAGAGAGAGAGAGAGAGAGAGAGAGAGAGAGAGAGAGAGAGAGAGAGAGAGAGCGAACGAACGAACGAACGAACGAACGAGCTTTGTGCTGTGTGTGTGTGTTTATACAGACAGCTTGGCTGTCTGGACTGTATACTGGGTGATTTTTGGTTGTGTTCTCCGCTCTAGCGGGACCGGGCGCGGCGGGCAGAAAACGGAGCGGGTTCTCAGGCTAAAACCTGGCGGGTGCGGGCGGAAGCGGGAGCGTTGTCATCCGGAGGTGTGTGTGTGTGTTTTTGTGAGTGTGTGGTATGGCGAGTACACGACTGTCTCCTTCGTTCGGTTATCCGTGGCACTATCCACTCGCCATAGTGTGGCAGCTAAAATCCACGTCTACACTATCGAGCGTGTGTGAACTGTGATTACTTTTTAAATTGCTGATTAGCTATTGGCCATTTCCCTCTCTTTGACTGAAGGCAGTCGACCAATCGCGACAGACTGTCATCGGTCCAATCAGCGCAGATTAGCTCCGCGCTAAGGAGGGGTTTGGGAACAAATGAATCACTGGACGATTCATACAGGAGTCGCTGGGATAATTAGCTAAAAATAAATGCAGATTATAAGACCATGAAAGTGTTTTTTGACCTTGCATGCATATTAGACTGTTGTTGGAGACCCTTACAACCAAGATATGACCCTATTTCATGTATAATATGGGCTCTTTAAGATAAATGTCAGTGCATGTCCAAACTTTTTCAGAGCCCTAAAACACCCTCAGACCCCAGAGGGTTAACCAGAAATTAGCTCTAAATGGTCGCACTTGTATTTGTAATCATAAAAAGAATCACACGGTTGATAGTTTCACTTTTATTAAAAAAAACTATAGCATTCATGTAGCTGATTTCATGGGTGATTTCAAGGGTCCATGCCTTTTCGGGGCCCCCAGATTTACTATTAGCCCCCCAATTACTATTAGCCCCCCCTTGGCTGATTTGTCCAAGAGACGGACCAAATAATTAGCTCACAGTAAAAAAAATAAAATAAAATGCTACCATCCGAAGGTAGAAGCGCTAACCGCAACTAAAAACAGCTTTGTTTACCCATTTTACTACATTACGCATGCTGATCATATGAAGAAACACTTACGCATGTCGAGATAATGAGTGAGTGCTGCAGCTTATGTTTTTAAAATAGAAGGCTACCGTTGTTTTAGGTTATTCAAATCTCACAGACTTTCAGGAGTGCTCCATCACATGGACACGAGTCACGCAGCTGAACTCAGAGTGTACAGGTAAACTCACAGTGGTTTATTCTATTCTATTCTATTTATCTTTATTCGTATAGTGCTTTTACTATGTACATTGTGTGAAAGAAGCTTAACATTGAAGTTTTAGAAAACTGAAACAGTTTCAGTCCAGTTTTCAGAGTTGATTTCAGTTTAGTTTATTTCAGTGTGGTTTAAATTTCACTGCTGAAAGTCCAGTGTTAATGTTAATGTTTATTGTGTTAATGTATAAAAACCTACAGTTGGGTTATATGTTGGGGTATTTTTCACCCAACTACTTTAACTGAGTAAATGTGATGTAAAATATAGCATGGAATAAGGGCTGCACGATATTCAAAAATAATGACATTGGTCTTTTTTTTTCTCTTTTTTTTTTTGCGATATAAGTGCATAATTATTTAAACATCAACACATTTCTAACATTTTTGACTCTATACATCAACACAATTAATTTGAAATGAAATGAACAAGATGTGCTTTACATCCAAAATTTACATCCAATTTACATCCATTTTTACATACAAATCAAGTGAACGCTGTAGGAATTACAACAGTTTGCATCTGTGCCTCCCACTTGTTAAGGGCCCAAAAGTAAATGGAGAATTGGCTTCTAAGCTGTTCCATGGCCAGGTGTGGTATTCCCTCATTATCCCAATTACAATGAGCAGATAAAAGGTCCAGAGTTAATTTCAAGTGGGCCATTTGCATTTGGAATCTACAGTCAACTCTCTAGATGAGATCCAAATAGCTGTTACTACCAGTCAAACAATGCTTTATGAATAAAATTTCACAAGATGGTGATTTTAGGGCAGTGAATCATGCATGAAAAATTATTAGAGCTACAAATGTTGTACTTTTTGTGTCTGAATGCTTTAAACTGTTTTTAAATGCTATTAAATCACATGCAAATGACGAACTTTCACTATGTTTTGATTTAAAATCTGCTGTGACTTCACAACTCTCTTGTATTCTGAACTATGGTGTTGATCAACACTAATCCAAATGCAACATTGCAGATCCTACGATGTAACTATTGTGGATGCACACATTGCGATATCGATGCTGAAACGATTTATCGTGCAGCCCTCGACGAAACCAACCAATGAGTTAATTATTTTAATAAGATTTAAAGGAGCTAGTTTCACCCAGCACTTAGATATGTTAATATTTTACTCAATTTGAGTATAAATAATCAAGCATTATTTAAGAGTGTACATTTATATCCACAAAAACAGACTTCACTTTGAGAAAAAAAAAGACCACAATTTATTTCAAACCCATCTACTTTGAAAATGGCTTCTTTTATTAAACAAGGACTATTTCTAGGCCATGTCTTCGTGAAGTGCCCTAAACACTAAAGTAGGAGGAAAAAAATGCTCTCAGGGAATCATTTATAAAGACGTATGGCACAACACACAGACACAAAAGGGCAAGAAAAAAAATCCTCAGATGGAGCCAAAAATAGAGCAGTGAGATAGCAGGGCGCAGGCAGGGGAGAAGAAGAGCCTGTGGAATAAGATGATAAGAAACTAATGAAGATGGATCACTCTCTCCATGTTTTCCTCGGGTTGTAAATTAGACACTTTTCGAGGATGAACTCTGTCTCCTTCTCCAATAATAGGGAAAAAAATAAGTCGACAAACTTTATTTTACTCATTTTAGTCAGTCATTAGACTGCCGCTAAAGGCCATGGGGTTGTTCTCTTACCATCTGCGGCTGCGGCTTTAGCCAACTCCATATCAGCCAATTAGGATTACTCATGTCCCACTGAACATTAGGTTTGGCTTTCAAGACACTGAATATGATGAAAAGAGGGAATGTTGGGTGTATAGAATCAAAAGGCGACCTGTATTTCATTTTAATAAGAAAAAT